AGCTCAGCTGGAATACAGCTTGACTGAAGCCCAAAAGGTGAACGAGGCGCAACAAAGCCGCATCGCTTACCTGGAGGCCCGCAAAGTCTAACTGTATGACTTCGGCGAACAGGCCGCCCGTAACCTCACAGAAATGATGAGGCGGATGGACGAAATGGACATTGAAACACGGTGCCTGAGGGAGGAAAAGAAACACTTGGAACAAAGCCGAGTCGAACCTCCCTCATACCTGACGTCCATGGCACAGGGTCAGCACCCGTCGCGGACAATAAGCGACATCCTGTGGGGTATTAACCCAACCCAAGAAATGGCGAAGAAGGAGAACAACACCTCCTACTTCGTCGGAGTCGTAATAACCGACCCGAGTGTGGGAACAATTCCACAACCACCAACCGTACCGAGCCCTCCGGAACCGAAACACAATACGTCGACGGCGGCACCACATGTGCCAACGTCGAACGTAGCGACAACGACGTCAGCCGGTGCATATACTAGCACCTCGTACCCGACGCGGACAACAACGTACGCGCCGGTACCAAATGCTAGAGGAGATCGGACAACAGATTCCTCACGTCCCCAGTCTCGCTACCGCGACCCGGCACGGAGGCATATCGCCCGCCACGGACGAATTCCAACCCGAACCTACTTCGCCAGAACACACAGTTCGACTCTGAACGCGGGCGGGCTCGGTCATTTAACACGGCTGATCAACAGCAGGACGGACGAAACGGAGAGGACAGCTCCGACCAACAAGGTCGGAGGCCTCCAAACCGACCTACACAAGGTCGGGTGCCGGCTCAGGGAACACAGCCCGACCGGTACGGAAGAGTCTACGACCAGCCGAGTGGATTCTACCTGCAGGCACCGAGACAAAATCGAGTGCACTGTCCACAACAGCAGGGAGGACAGCTACAACAGCCTCGTTACGAAGACCAGGCTCAGGCGCCTCATCCGCAACAGGACGGATATGATGATCAGTACGAACCGGCTTATCATCAGGAGGCACACGGAGACCAACAAGGTCACATGCCATATGCCAACCCGCCGCCCGCCCCGGCTGCACAACAAAGCTGTGCCGGCGGCACATCCGATTCCTCTTGGACAGGACCCAACACATGTCGCTTTGGTACGCGCAATGGCACACGGACGTCGGCAACCTCTACCGCCGTTCGATGGTGACCACACCAAACTTCATGGGTAGCTCAAACAGATTCGAAGCCTGTATCGTCAAGCCCAACAATGGCACGAAGACGATCAGACCTTCATGTCCGACTTGGTAGCCCGACTAGACGGCCAAGCGGAGGAGTGGCATACCATCGAAGCCGCCGGAAAACCGCTCGGCGCATGGCCAGTCAACGTTTTGCTGAGCAAATTCGAGCAGCGATTTGCGGACAAAAAAAAGAAGTGAACATGATATCTCGAATCAACAAACGGATATTCCGTTTCGGCGAAGAAACGCCGGAACAGTACTACGACGCAATGATGTTCGTGAAGTCCCAAGTCCCCACGATCACCGATCAGATGATATTGTACCACCTTAAGGAGAACATCCATGAACCCAAACTACGGGAAGCCCTGGAAATCAGGATGCCGGCGACACCAGTCGAGTTCCGCGACTATTTACGGAGCTTTGTCAACGGCAAGGAAATGTATGAGGTGCGGAATCCACGGGATGGCGACTACATCCGAGTTCGGGCAGAAACACCTGCACCTGTTCCGACTCCACCTCCGGCGATACCACAACAGACTGGATATCAGCCACATATGATGCCGGGATATCAAACTCCGACGGCACAGTACGGACAACTGAGTCCGGCGCCGACGCCACTGGTGCAACAAGCACCAGTCCAGCAACAGACGTGGTCAGGCGCTGTAGCAGCAAACCTGAGTCCCCGGCACCTGGAGTTGGAGCCCCCGTTAACAACTACGGCGGCTCAGGTTATAGCTCGGGCGGCAACCACCACAACGTTTTGGCTACGGACAGAACTCCAACCAGGGATACTCCGCATGCGGCCAGTATCCTCCACAAGGACACAGCGGCGGAGGTTATGGTCGCGGAAGAGGACGCGACGGCGGGAATCGCGGCCGTGGTAACTTCCCTAACCGCGGCGGAGGCGGCAACCAACAAGGGAACCGACCTCCACAGGCACAACAAAGTGCTCGGCAAGGGACAACTTACGTCGACAAGATGGAGGCAGCCTTCTTCCAGTGGACGAAGGACAAGACCTTCAGATGCAGGCACTGCATGTTCAACGATCATGACGAGTCGCGCTGCATATATGGATCGGATAACAACCCGACCCTCCGGTGGTACGACGATTGGTACCGCCGATACTCGACGAATAGCCCAGTTGGCTCGGTCAATCCTTTCTGGAACGACATCGTGCCACCCCCGCGCCAACGCCAACAGGCCGGAGGCTCGGGTAGATCCGGTAACGGAAACCGGTCGCCCGGCCAGGGGAACGGCGGCAACCGCAACAATAGCGGCGGGAACCAACAAGGTCCCCGGCATACAGAGAACCGTTGCCGCCCCGCCAGTCGTTGAACTCGACGCCACCCAACAATGGGTTGGCTCGGAGTAACTCCCCGGGAAACGCCCAAGGTCGATGAGCTCTGGTGACTCATTCGACCTCCAACGTCCAACCGAACCACCGGACAAGGATAAGCCGACTAACCAGCCGCTTACCTACCGGAACGAACTGAATTTCCCTCCGACGATTGAGGAAGGCACTCAGCAGATAGACCCCATCCTCCAACTGCTCGGACTGAACTATAATAGTTCAGTAGACGACTTTGCAAAAGCGATGTCGACCTCCACAAAGGAGGTAGAGACAGCTCGGAAGTTAGCTGCTCGGCTCGGCGTGTATGTCAACAATGGCACCGTCGAAGCCTGGCCCGGAATACAACAAGTACTCCAGGCAACCGACCCAGCGCATCAACTTGGCGCTGGAACGTCGGAGGTCGGAACGCAAGAATTGCCCGACCTAAGCAGCGCAAACAATGCGACTGCGCCGTCCGTCACACAAAGTGATGTAGTACGGCCCGGCCACGGAAGTTGGACCGGATTGCCGGTGAAGATAAACTCAACCGAGCAGCCCAGACGAGGCCCAAGACGCGGAGGACCGGGACGCCGATTCACGCACAGGGGCAACAGAAACTTCCCCAATGTATCATCCGGATGCGCAACGGATAGATACGCTGCAACAACGGCAGCCATCGACCTTACCGAAGAACCGGAAGGTCTCGAACAATGGGAAACGGTCCCATTGGAAGCACAGGTACCCGTTTACTCTCGGCCGGGAGAAGCGGACCTCTCCCAACCAAAAGAACAACCAGCTAGAACGATAGCCACCTCTCGGACATTATAGTGGCCGAGTGTGTTTCCAAACAAATCGTCTAACAAACATTTGTTAGCAGTTTGAATATAAGTGATCTAGTTGACGTAGATTTATAATTTAAACAATGTGTTTTTTTATAACAAAACAAAATATTACATAAAACTTATTTTTTCGGTTGTGGTTTACATTAACATTTATGGCTTCACCGGCCTCTGAAATCAACTGAAATCAACGCCACGTTCGATACTGCGCCAAGGGCGTAAACATCGCGCATTTAGACTAGTGGGCATGTGCAGTGCACGTGTGTATGTACGAGTGCGCAATGTGCTTTTAGGTAATCTCGTGTCAGTTGCTACTCTGTTCTCATAAGCTAATCTATTTAGCCAAACCTGTTATTAGCTGACAAATTTCGCGACGTTTAACCTCCGTTTTTTTTAACTCATACTCTTTGTGGAAAATAATGATTTAGATTTAGATCATTTAGAGTTAGACCATCTGGTGTTCACTTTTGTAAGTACCTTTTGAAAGCAGAAATGCCTCGAGGCAAGAGAAAGGCGCCCCCTTCGCGGGATCTTTTCAACGACGACGACAACGCGGACAGAAAATCCCCTAAGTAACGGAAACGGGAGCTGGAAAAATCAAGAAGGCTAGAACGTGGTAAGAAGCCATACCAAGGCTGATCTCACTGAGGTTTTGGTCGGGTTCCATGTTGACGCTATGTTGTAGACGATCGCAAGGGGATATGCATTCCTCAGTGACATTGAGATCTCGCCGCTAGCCCGCTTTTATTCCACGGACCATCCCAAGTGCAAAAGTTTCAAGAAGAGTTGCCTGGAGGAACTGGCCAACAAGCATCATGACGATAAGACGAAATATGACTTCTTGCCCAAGCATGTCCTGGTACCAAGTAAAGACGAGCAGGCGCTGTACAGCATTCTTGAGGCCATTTGCAAAAGTCCCAATGACGTTCTGAATCGCGACCTGGAACCGAACAAAGCTTGTCGCGTTATCGAATACAGTAACTATCGCGGTTTTGAAAGAGGTTGCCCAGGAGAGTGGCCGGGATTTCAAGTTAAAGGTAAGCGTTCCAGCCTGTAGTCCTAAAAAGTGAGCGAAATCAACTTCAAGTAACTTCAAACAACTGAGATTTCCTTTGAGCAATTAGATTAAAATTTTGCGAGAAAAATGTATCCACACAAAGTAGGTTATATGTACATTTACCAGAGTATCTAAACTGCATATTGACCATATTTAAGTAGACTCAGGTTCAGTTAGATTATCTTCATTGACAATGCCGATTAGTAGGTTTTAATATTTTTGTACAAGCGTCCCGCTTCAGTACATAACATGTGCCAGTCTGACTAAACAGGATTGAGTCGAAGTTTTTTTGCAAATTTCTGACCAAAAATACCGACACCCAAATGCCATGCGCTTTTGATAGACAATCTGGAATATATAAATAAATGTTCACGGTAAATAGATATTCTGTACTGCTTTTCGGTTGCGTAGAAATGCATTTCTTTTGCGGAGCAGGTGCGGGTTTTGGAACAAATTGTGAGCTAAGATCAACACTATCATTATTTGTTTCGTGACCCAGATTTAAACACGTTTCCTGCATTCGCTCCAGACGGCTATCGGCATTTAATTCGGTGGTTGAGGAGCGATGTGAACATGAAAACCGCAGATACGATGGGCATAAGGAGGGCGGCGTACAAGGATCTCCTTAATACGTTTGCGGTTTTTCGTAGCACATCAAACGAAAACTGTAGTTACGTCCTTGGAAGTGAAGAAATGATCGTGGCGCTACTATGCGATCTTCGAAGTTCTTGCGTCTCACCGCAACACGTAACCATTATCAATTTGATTTATGACTATGCGCAAAATGAGAAGGTAATGGAGATCCTTGATTGGTTTTTCTCGCTGAATGATCTGAACCCATTGCCAGAAACGTTAATGAAGACCTTAATGCAGATAACAAGTGTGGCCCATAACAAGCCAAGCAGCAATTTATCGAGCAGAGCAGCGTTGTGCGAGCTGCTGATTAACCAGATTGCCTACTTTAACACCTTGGAGCCAGCAGAAAGGGCCTTGTGCTTTTTTTTTCGGCTTTCTACGTGCCAAACGTAAGCATATCTTTACTGTAAACATTCGTAACTTTTTATCGAACTTAGCAAGATAATTTATTTTAGATCATTTATTTTGGTGATCAATTTATATATCAGCTAATTTATTGTTTTAATTAGATCATCGATACCATCTAGGTAACGTTGATATCTAATTTTGACCGAATTAAAAATGGATTATCTAAACGTTATTGAATTTTCTTCACAGTGCGAAAACAAGTGAAAGCTACAATTCCGCATCTGACAGAAACCGGGCTTATTTATGGTTTCGTTTTGGAAACCAAAGAACGCTACCTGAAGAAACAATCTCTACGATTCCACGACATAAGAGAGACCGATCTTGTGATACGCCGACAGGGGGCAGAAGAAATTACGGAAGTATTATCCTTTTATAAAGCAAGCGCCAGCAAATATGACGCCGAGAGCTCAAGCCTAACCGCCGGCGACAAAGCTGTCAAGTACGACCAGAAGTTCTATCCGTTCCAGGTATCTATTCTGTATCTTCTAGTTTGGCTTATTTCAGGATTTGCATGGGTTTTTGTTTACCAGAAATCATCGACTTCGGCATCTGCAGTTTCGGGGGCTTCTGTTCCCCCCATTCGTATCGTTATGCCCCAGGGGCGCCGAGATGTACCGTTCGCCGACTTACTGTTCGAAGAGATGCTGGAAATCTTTGTAGAACGATTCGTATCCGTGAATCCAGTTCGTGATCCGGAAACGGCTGCTTTAATCGGTACCGATATAATGCAAAACACAAAGTTGAGGATCTTTTGGCTTCATTCTGTATCACCAAGGAAATTTGCGACGATTTCTTAGCTCCTAACTTTGTTTCTTCGGAGTGTATTGATCTCGCGCATTTTATTGCCAGGAAGTTTTTTGTATCGTTCGGTGGAAGCACATATTTTGGGCAATCGTTTAACGATTTTATGTCAAACATTTTCAATATCGGCGCAAAGGCTTCGCAAATTTGTATTTTGGAGAACATTCAACTGTGTTAATGAGGCACGGGGATCGGCTGATGTACGTGGATCCGGCTGGCAAAGCAACGTTGGATAACCCTGCTCTGATGCGAGTCATCAGCGGATTCTTATTCGGGGTGAATTCCACTTTCAGATACAGAGAATACGGCATTTGCCGGATCGCCGAGAGCCCGAACGGGTGGTTCAGTTCAGGATTCTGACTGTATTTACCGTAAGTCGCTTTGGTCCATAAATGTTAAGAAACGGATAGCTGTGAAAGGGCGTTAATTTCTGATTAACCTTCTGTTCATTTGCAGGATGACGCAAAAAGTTTACGTCCTTTGGCGACATATCCGTTATACGCTGAATGGAATACCTTGTTTCACTGGTGCATGCAACAATACCCTACGGTACATTTAGATAATCGATTAGAAGCAAAGAGATTACAATTTTTTTATATCATCAGTTTTACTGAGTGTTTTAGTTTGATTAGATCATCTGTAAAGTTTAGCTGATTTGATTTCATAACCAGAAGAGATACATCATCTGTGCACGTACTCAACTGATTGCAAAAATATATGAGGACACATAAAATCACGTTACAGACCATGTATGTGGGTTTATTTTTGGGCATCCGTTCCAATATTCCGGTATTTGCGGGACAAGGATTACGCGATTGTTAATGTAAGTGGTTGGTTTTGTTCAGATTTGTTTTGTGTACTTATGTTCTGTTGTCCCCTAGTTGGCGGGGTACGAGTTTATCATAAAGCAGAAGGATTTCGCTGAGCACTTGGCGTTTAAACTCGAGTTCCGGATGCTCCACGACATCGCTGCGATATCGCCGATCTAGTAGTGGACCTGGGCGCCCAGCCGCTATCGGATAGGGACGTTTTCGGCAGCGCTGTAAAGCGTGTGTTCGCCAAAGATGGCAACCAGGTGACCGACACCGAACAGGAAATCAGTATTTCCGATAACCAGGGCCTTGGCACTGAGAATTCGAAAGAGGTAGTTATTATTTCACGTTCAGCTGTACGTTGAAACTATTGTGTGCTTTGATTGTTGGTTTATTGACAGTTCATTTAAACGTAGGTGATACAAAGTGATTTAACTAAGCAGCTGACCGAACCCTACTGCGCTGAGAAGCTGGAAGAGGAAGTGGATGACACTACGCGTAGGCAAACCGCAAAAGGCTCGTAAGCGTGCCGGTGTGGCCAAGGCGAAGTCAAAGGTAGGGAAACTCTTACAGCATCGTCTTTAGATTCAGTTGCGTTCTTTGTGAGTTTCACGTTTTTCTGCAGAGCGCAGTTTGAAAGGGAATTGCGAAAAACGTTATCTCGGCACAACAGCAGTCGTCAGCAGCCAGAGTGAAAACCAGTGTGGAACCTGCAACACAAGAAATCATGTTGGCAGGAATGATGGAACGTTGGATAGATAACCTAAGCTCATATACATTATCTATATTTGAATAATCGATTTTCTTAAATGTAGATAATCTATTTCGCACACTATTTAGCAGAAACGTTTTTCCAGGAAACCATTGTGGAACCTGTAACACAAGAAATCATGTCTCGATCAATAGCTATATTAAAACTTCGTTTTAATATAGCTATTGATCATGACTCTGTTAAGATCATTATTGCGCTTTTGTAAATTATTCGTAACTAAGTTCCTGTGTATGTTTTCCGCCTGTCGTCAGTTCACAAAAACAGAATTAGCACAGCTAATTCCGGTTACAACACAGCAGGGATGATTGTTAGGCAGGACGACTTAAAGTGCCGTTAGGGTGTGTCTTTTGTGCAAGTAGATGTACCTACCGAAGCTGGAGAAGCAAACCGTCATCCACTGTGAATGTGGCATGTGTAGCGATTGTGTGTTTCTGTTCATTGAATTTCAGTTACTGTTATGTTGAAGCAAAGTCTACTTCAATATAAAGTAAAGTTTATGCTTACTTCAACTTAACAGCATCTGATGGTTTACATAGTATAACAAGTCGATCTTATCTTCCGCCTACTCTCTTGGATGAGGCGTTGGGGGATCCTTTAGCAAGGACGGCGGCCTGGTTGCGCCGGTGACCCATGTTCCGGTGCCAGTGTCTTCCATGAACCGGTGCCAAAGAGAAACCAATCGTTACGCGTAACTGTTGTTGCTGCCGCAGACTGTGGCAACAACAATAGTACAGTTTAAAAAGTTTATATGGGTTTTGGAAAAAACATGCAATAGCAAGTATTTAAAGAAATTTTGAAGTTAAAACCGTCCAAACGGGTAAAATCATACAAACCGTGATACCTACAAACATTTAGAAACAATAAAAGTCCAAAAACTTAAAACCCGCTCTCATTGTCAGAACTCAGAAACAAAGTTACGGCGAGCCGAGGTCTCACTGTCATCAGATCATTTTAATAACTTCCGAATATGTACCTAATGATAATACTGCTTCCTGAATAATTATTGTTAAAACTGTACTATATTGGTTAAGACCTGTAAAACCTTACAACCCCTACAAGAAAGAATCACCGTAAAAACTTTATATTTAGAAATAAAACTGTCAACGCCTTAAAACCGGCTTCAGAAGAACACAATCAAAACCAAAAATCATTAAAAACCGCTAAAACCTTAAAACCGCTTTCTGAGGAATCACTGATAAAACTGTAATTCAGTGATAAAAATGCTAAAACCTTAAAACCGCTTTCCGAAAGCTCACTACCAAAACTAAATATTAGTAAAAACTGCTAAAACCTTAAAACCGCTTTTTGAAAGTTTCTGCTTAAACTGTATAATAGTAATAAAACCACTAAAACCTTAAAACCGTTTTCTGAGAAATCAGTGCTAAAACTGTATAATAGTAATAAAACCAATAAAACCCTAAACCCTTTTTCTGAGAAATCACTGATAAACTGTAATTGGGTAATAAGACTGCTAAAACCTTAAAACCGCTTTCCGAAAAATCACTATCAGAACTATATATTACTAAAAACCGTTAAAACCTTAAAACCGCTTTTTGAGAAATCATTGTCGAACCGATGTACTTATTATCTTATTATTTAAAACGTTTGGTTTTATTAGTTTTAATAGTTTAAAAATTAGATTTGGACCACTTTGTACCTACCCTCCCCACAATGTTGTCTTACGCCAGCGGGACCGTCCATTAGTTGAATGTCAGTCATTAACCGGAATCGGATCATGAGCAAACTCACTTAAAATTTGACGCTTTTTTAATATGTATTTCCAACGGTAACACGT